CCCCGCCAACACTACAGGTACCTTCTTGCCCTTCCCGCGTCTGCACGCCTAAACCCTCGCGCCTCCCAAGCAGTATCCGCCCAGCTCCGCAGCAACCGCCGGCCACCCTATCCCGTCCGGCAACCCTACCCCGTCTGGCAAAGCCAAGACAGCCGTCCTCCGTCGAAGCCAAACAGCGCTGGCACTGGCAGCCCTCGAGCCCCTCGTCGAACACCCGACACCCTTGGCCCATTCACGCTGGTGGTGCCGTTCGAAACGGCTGGAGAAGCGCCGCAATTTCCGGAGGAGCGCGAGGCCGGGACATCGGCTTCTTACGCCTGGAGCTTGTATTCTCCCCCCGCTGACAGTGGCGGCATCAGCAATACCAGCAACACAGGCGAGTTGCCGGGGATTGGATCGGTCTCCTCGACCGTCGCGAATGATGCTGCTGCCGAGGATGCTGCGCGGGCGACTAGTCTTGCTTCGAGGCATATTGGTGTTGCCCTTGGCTCTGCGCCAACAGCGGGAGGGGCGATCGGGTCTGGGGAGAAGTCTGCGGTTGGCCTCGGCCAAGCAGCGGTGAAAGATTCTGCGGTGGCTAGTGCCAGCGGTTGGGGGAACGGTTTCGGAATAACTTCGTTCAGCAACACCGGCAGCGATGAAACAAGCAGCAGGATGAGGGGCTACTCTACAGCTCTTGGTGGTGACGCAGTCCGCAGTAGACTGAGGGACCGGGGGGGGGGGATGCTGCCCGTCGAAGTAGAAGGCGGAACGATACGTTCGGCTGGTTCTGGCGCTGGTGCTGGAAGACGAAGAGCGGCGACACCGCTCAAGATATCCTTCCTGGCCCCGGCCGTAAAGGCACCAGGAAGAAACGGATCTGTCACAGGTAGAGATACGAGGACATTGAGCAGGCACTACGTCCGTCGCCAGGGCCCCACCGTAGACTCCCCCCGGCCCGCCAGTGTTACGCAGTGGCGAACGGAGCAGCTGCGGCGTGGACCGCCAGAATCCCTCGCCACCATCCCGTCCAAGGGCGGCGACCGAGCGGGGCTCGGCCGGGGGGGGGGGGAAGGAGGCCCAGATGTTCCCATTACCACCACCGCCTCCGCTTCCCTATCTCTCCCTGGATTTGATGACGACGGGGAGGCACAATTGATCAGGGACGTCAGGCGGAGGCTGGGCTCTAGCCCCGGGGACGGGGCTGGAAGTCGAGCTAGCGGAAGCGTGAGCGATTCCGCCGTAGCGGCGGGGGGAGGGGGAGTCTTCGACGAGGCCGATTGGGTCTGGGAACTGCTGTTCTCTGGCCCGGGTACGCCGGGGCTAGTGGTGGATTTGTGGTCTCCTGGGCCTCTCTTTCTCCGACACGTGGAGGTACGCTGGCCAAGTGGCCTCCCATCACCCCATCACATTTGGTGCACTGACACAAATACGTTCGGGGATATTATTTTTACCGCGATTTGCCTTTATAGTACGAGGTGAAGAATGCATCCCGGCTGTCACCGTCAGAGACGAACGACTGGAGTGTTTTGTTGTGATGATCACACCTTCGAACAGACTCGGAAGCGATGTGAAGTTTTGTGAGATCAGGTATACTTGGCGATATTGCGGGATTCTTGGAAAACGGGTTGGAAATCCTGCCGGGTCGAAAATCGACTGAGTTTAGGTACTTCTCTGAAGAGGATAATGTCTTCCCTTTCGAACAACGGTTCCGATAGGTCACGCAAAGTGTTGATATCCCTCTTCGAGATCCTCGGGTGTTTGGGTTGTAGGACGTGCGACGGGACCAAGCGACTTGGGCATATCACAAGAAACGCTCACAATTGGGCTAACGCACGTACAGAGACAAGAGCAGAGAGATGAACGGATGGCGCGTCCGGTGAATGAAGCAGCGAGTTGGCGTTCCGCCGAACACCTAAGTTATAACACAATGAAAATTCAATCAACCAACATATTTTCCTCGCCGATACGAACACGTTATCCACCGGGCACCAGGAATTCGGAGACACCGGTTGCATGGAGGCTGCCTATGCCCTCGGCCTGTGGAGAGCTGGCAGCAGCTTTCAGGTGGTGCAAGGAGCAAGGCTAACACCCACGGCCGCCGTTCCGCCCCCGCTCCAGGTGAAAGCATGCAGATAGTAGCTGGGGTTTCATATGCGTATTTTCTCTTTGTGTATGTGGGTTTTTTTATTGCGCTATTTCCTCTCACTCTCCACGGCAGAAGGGGCTTGCACGCAAGCTAGTCGTCCACACACGCACGGGAATACGCTACCAAGTGTAGTGATACAAGAAGAAGGCTAACATATTCCTCACGTACCATTGTAAACTGCTTTGGGATTGCCTCCGGACAGAGCCACGACTACAGCAGAGACAGGCGGGCGTTCACGTCAGACCAGGAAGAGCGTTTGTTCCGTGTCCCAGGGGGTGCATGTCTTAGGAGCGAAGCCGTGGCGAGCACGGCTTCCATTTACTCTGTGTTCCTTCGACAGGTGGGGTATGACTACGCCAGCCTTCTCCTCATTGGCCATTGTTGCGTTGGAGCTTCTTGTTCAAACCATTTCCACATTCCCAGCTTGGTGCCCTCTCTTCAACTTGATCCTGAACACGGCAGAAGTCTTGTTGTGGAACTTGTGTGCTTCGTGATTCCCCGGTGCACTTTTTCGGCCTCTCCCACGTTTCTTGCGATTTTCGTTTCCTGGGACAACCCGCCAAAACTTTGTGGTCACCTGTCCCCATTAGGACCCCTAAGGGTACAGATAGGGAAGGACACTGAACCCGACAGGATGGAGTGATCCGTCAGTAGTGGAAACTGCAAAGGCTCTCGACAAACACTCTCGACGAAGGCTCTCGACAATGGCTTTCGCCAATTTTGGCCCATTCACAGCCCCAACCCACCCACACCCCGCATCACCGAACGTCCACCGCCGCCAAACCGGTACTCCACCCGGGTCGCAACGCACTTAACACCCCCCCTTTCGAATGTTTCAGGTGGAGAACGTGTACCGACGCCCTTGGTCAAGAAGAACCGGGCGCACCTACCAGGATCGCGGCGGTCGAACAACCACTGGTCGGCAGGCGCCAGGCGACAACGATAAATGACCCTACAAAGATTTGTAAACGTTTCGTATTGGTTCCTTGGGGTTCGCTGGGCCCTTCGAGACAAAAACACGTCAGCTGTGTGGGGTTTTGACCTTAGGAAACGTCAACACTGTGGCTGGCAGCCAGCTGTGGGTTGGTCCTACTCTCTGCTTCTATTCCTGCTTTGACTATCACCTTGCATCAGCCCCTTTGATGCCTCTGTGCTCTCATGAGCCCACTCCGAATGGATGATTTGTACAAAGTCCTTTAACGAGTCTGCATGTTGCTCTAGTATCTCATGATTGTCAAAACTGGTTTCAGGCGATTGAGGTTTGTCAATGTTCCTTTTAGGAACAAGAAAACAGCCGGGGGTGACGTGTAAGCACTGTGGCGTGGAATTTCTAGCGTGCTGTCAAGCCATGCGGTGGTGTGAATATCTTCAACATCATCGCCAACGTGAGAATAAAGGCAATAGTATATTTCGGGCGAACCCTGTTCTTGTTGAATAACTCCGGAAGACTTGCTTGCAGTATCTAGGGTTTTAGCGGCAAGGGTTCTTCTTCCCTTTCGCTGCGTTGGTTTTGTCTAGCGTCAGGTGTTTCCGTCGTCCCGGGCAACTCAAGATATGTGTGGACAACTCTTTCGAGCAGCACCATTCTCGGATCTCACATTGGACCGAACTCTTTTGGGGTAAATGACAAAGCACTTCCGCACGATGTTCACGCCACGTGCAATTAGCGTTGATATGTCCTTCCGGCCACGGATACGTCGTTGTTGTACAGCTTTAGCCATTGCGACACACAAAGGATCCCAAGCAGTGCCCGAGACTCTTAGGGAGAGAACGCAGCTACAGACCCGGCTTGATCGCCACCCCTTCCACTCGCCAGCCAAGTTCGGTAGCTCACTTGCTGCACCACATGTGCCGGAGTCACTTGAATATACCGAGGAGCCAATGCCTGGTTCATTGAAGGCGACGAGCGGAAGCGACGCTACTATGATCACAGCCCGTGGGTAGCCCCGGCCTTATCTGAACCCCTGTGCCTTTCCCCCAAAGAGATCTATCTGTGTGGCGTATGATGCGAACTGATAGCCGTTCTGAAGATAAATTGGGTTGACGTTGGATAAGAGAGCACAAAAGAAAAAAAAAAAAGGAATACAAAAGCGGCAAAGAGAAGGAGACAGTTCAACTCAGGGTTCGAACCAGAAGTGTCGCTAATATTATTCCACTGGTTGATGCAGACGTGCCTTTTATGCACGACATGACATTCACCACAACCGCAGAGCACAGGGCAAGTGTTGTTGACGACGTTGATATGCGTTATTTCCCTCGTGGGTATTTATCCTCACACCACGTCGTGTACCGCACAGAAGCATCGCCGCAAGCGAAGACAAACACAAGCCGGAGGCTACCGCAGCATGCTTGTCGATCCATGCATTGGGACAAAGAAACATGCGAAATAAGACTCGCCCGCTCCCACCCATGTGGCCCAAATCTTCTTTCCACGCAATACTTCCTGAGACGAGGGAATGCGTAGTGGAGAATAAACTATCAACGAAAAGCATGCAAGACAGTAGATAAACAAAAACAGCAAAAGCAAAACGGTCGTCATATCATGCCTCGATTTCCGAGTGGGCACGACCGAACAAGTACGCATCTATCTTAAGTGCTATCAGTCGAGGCATAAATTCTGGCGGGGGCGACGGGGCTCCGAACTCACGATTTGCCCCAGCACAAAAACGAAGAAAAAAAAAAAACACTCGGACAGGAAATCTGGCCGACTTTGGCCAGAACAAGTTAAAGCTTTGTTGGCGGTTCGGTTCTCTGCCGACCGACCTAGCACAAGGCAAGTCAGACACGAAGCGTTTACGAAAATATGCTGGAACCAAAACACTCCAGCCACGGCACACAGTGTGCAATATACGATGAAACTGAGCCTTACAGCGTGGAACATGTGAAAACTACGCCAAAGTGTATGCAAGATATGAAAACGAGCTCAAACGTCCCGAACCGTTAGCCTTTACGAGAACATCCAACACGCATACAACAACATCCGTCGTCGACCTCCAGCGACACACATGGTCCTCTACTGCTTGACGTGTGCGCGGAAAGCGCGCATCGTCCTTCTTTGGCGTACCGAACCCCGGCAAAAAACGTCGCCGGATGCGGTTGGCACAAACAGACCAGACCTCTTTCGTACGGTGAGATCTACCTGGATGGGACACAACAGGGCTGCTGAGTTTTCCCACGGGACAGCGAAGCTTCACCAGCGACACGATTGGATGCACTTGCCGCAGGAGACGCCAGACTCCTACCTCCCGCGACCCCCACCCCGCTGGCGAAATCTCCAAACTTGGTTCCTCCGCAAATGCAAGCGCAAAAAAATATACATTCAAAGCAAATACAATGGGGCCAACCTGTTGATGAAGTCTTGTGTTCACGACAATATCGACACTATCAATGTTCTACATTGGTTTCCATCCACTTGCTCGATACCGGGCTTGGCGAGGCTGCACATCGACCCTCTTGCTGCTGTTCGGGCCCCCGTGCAGACATCCCTATATTCTTCAATGTCTCCTGCCAGACTTGAACGGTCTTGGCAGGACGCCCGCCCTACCCACACCAGCAGAGGAGCTCCAAGTTTGCAGGATACAGAAAAGCGCATGACAGACTGCGACCGTTGCAAAAAATGCAAAAGTACACACCATCCCATTACTATACTTCACTTTCTTCGACTCGCCAATGTCATATTGAATACTACATATATATACAACCACTGCTGTATTTTCGCGCATCTACATGCTTTCACCAAAGCTACTCAACGATGCACCCCGGCGTATTGATCACTATTCACACGTTTAGCAGATACTACTCAGGACTCTTCCCGTCGTATTCTCTCGTCCTACTCAGCTAGCTGCCAATTGGGGGCTCTGTGCTCCACTTGTTTTCCTGTCGTAATGTTCGCTCCACCTCCGGCGAAAACGGTTCCTTGATGTTGAACTCTCGCTGAATCTCTTCGGGCGTCTTATCTGAGGATTGATCGGGGGGAGGTTGGGCGGGTGGTGTAGAGCAAAGACCGGAAAAATTAGGGCCACGTGCAGGAGGTGATGCTCATGCCACCGAATTTTCAAACTCTAGGAAGTACTGCCGAAATGCACGTAAGTTGGAAAGCAATGCTCTGGCGAAGAGTACACAACCCGTGTCCACTCTCTGTATACCTCTTGAAAAACAAAAAATGCTCCGTCCATCGGCCTGACGATCGATAGTCTTATCTCCAACGTTCCACCCAAGAGGGCACTGCATGACAAAAGAACGAACCTACCGCAAGATGTGCCTAACTAACGCCGTTAACCTCCTTATCGCACAACGAGAATCCACAAAGGCAAGAAGGCAGACGAGAAACTTGCACAACAGAAACCATTGCGCTACGTGCCACCACTCAAGTCCAAACCCCGCAAACGTGAAAACAATGGCACGCCGCTATTGCACGCCCACAGCCCTCGTCAAGGCAGATGGTGTCTTAGCCACAATAGTGCTTCCACCGACAAGTTGACCTTGGAATGACAAGTGTGTGAGACATGGTCCGGCGAAATCTAGGGCAACTAACCCCTGACAAACAAAAAGTTCACTGGGAGCCGCGCCAGCCGTCTGAATGCTTGGTTCCTGAACAGGTTTTATTGTGAAACTTTTCTGCGCAGGTCGTGGCATTACAAGGCTGTGATACCTAAGCAGTCCTTGGGAGCAGCAGGCATTTGAAACATCGTTGCTCATACAGAAAAACATGTAGAGCGGGGACACCGAAAAATTATCGATGTAGACGACACACACACAAAAACACTGATCCACAAGAACAATAACGAGAAAAACATGACAACAGTAGCAACAACAACAACAACAACAACAACAACAACAACATCTACGACGACGACAACGACTCACTCATAGTCCGGAGACCCACAGTCGCGGCGCAGAGCTCCAAGAGCGGGGAAAGATCCAAGTAGTTTGCTGCCAGCAGCATCTCGAACAGCATCTCGTTCCCCAAAGCCTTCACGAACGTGGAATACCACTCCTGAACGTGGTCTCCCACGGTCTTGCCGAACTGAACAGGCTGTTTGTTGCAATGGTCGGTGTCAACAGGGCGGTAGAGGTTAGAGTGCGGGATGACTCTCCACGCATGATCGATCACGCGGCCTTGTTGAACTGGACGTGCCACCGAGGGCTATAATCAAGGCGGCAAGGGTTACAGGGTGTGGAATTCTCTCGGCGTGGCGCGTTACGCCCCCCTCTGGACACCCTGCTTGCGACTCGCCGAATACCTCACGAAGCTTCACGCTTGGTGATGGGAAAGCCTGGTTCGGCGAGAACCCGGCGTGATCCGTCCCGGCCTTTTAGAGATGCGAGGTCAATGGTCTACCGACAACGGCATGCACGATCATGAGCACACACACCCCGGAATGAACTAGAAGTTTCATCCACAGGTTGGGTCCGAGCGGCGTTGACCAGACGAAGGTTAATGAGAACAGGCAGCCGCGGTTTGTGGCGAATGCAAGTAACTGTCTGTCTGTCGGCAACTCGCTGACAAAACAATTGTGTTCGTAGAGCGGTGTGCTGTTGACTCGGCGTGGTCATTTGCTGTCATTAGCACTCTACAACAGTGTCACCTCCCTCTCAACTAAGCCTCCGATCTGGGGCCAACATGAAGAGTTCCCCCGCGGTGTGTGGCCATCGTTACCGCAAATAGGTGGATCGCAAGGTTGTCGAGATCTTCTACTGGCGATAACTTGCTGCTGCTGATCACCTGCCGCCACGATGGTACTGTACCCGAAAAAACATACAATCGGAGAGGGCCTGGGGCGAGGGAGGTACTATAAAACCAATTGATTAACGAACGTCCAAAACAGTTGTTGTTGAACTTTGCTGAATCGTACTGCAGCACTGATATGATCATTCTCGACCGAACAACATATTTGGGTGTGGTGCCGTGCTCCTTTTTCGGCGGGCATCTTTGGCTGCCAGGACGATTCTTCTTCCCCTGACGAGAAAACTGGTCACCCTGCAGTAGTAGTTACTTCAGAGGCGAGGGAGCATCTAGACTACGCATATCAATAATAAATACGACGCCGCACTTGCCTTCGGAATGTCGGTCATAGGGTCCGTCTGGTAGTGCTGGCAAAACTCCACCACTTTTGCCACGACGTTGCTGCGCATGTTCGGGAGCGGGATTTCCTTGGTAGCATTCTTGGTTGACCCTGCAGAAGTGCAGCCAGATAATGGTGGGGGGCGCATTGCGAGAGAGAAAGAGAGCGGGAGGAGGGGAGAGACAGACAGACAGACAGACGGACGGACGGACAGACAAACAGAAAGAGAGAGAGAAAGACAGACAGAGAGAGAGAGAAAGAGAGGCCGAAAGAGAGAGAGGGCGAGAGAGAGAGGGCGGGGGGGGGGGGGGGGGGGG